ATGTTTGTGAGTTTGTCTCTTTAGTGGAAAATGTTGACTTGGTAATCGGGTTTTAAGGCGAAAAAGGAGATAAACTAGAAATAAACACAAGCCAAAAAAAAAGAGCCAAAAGGGAAATTCAGCTCTCACTACCGTAGTTCAATATCACCATTTCCTCTGTAATTAGTCGTGTTGCTTTTGCACTTCAAGCTGTGCTTTAATCACAGAATGTGTGTGGAAAGATAATTAGCATCTTAGAATATTGCACATAATAAAGAAGTACTTAGTTGTCTTGATCTTAACATCAAACAGCGTGTTGGTCCTTTTACAGGGCATTGTAATAGAAATCACTACTTGAGTTACTGGATAGTAGTGGATACTTGGAACAGACACAAAGAGCGTTCCTGACAGCTCTCTCTGGACTTCCTTTATAAAACAGACATTAGAAAGCGGATCGGACATGGGTAGAACGTGGCGATGATGCGTGCCACCTCTCTCCGGGACACATCGGGAGGAATTGACCCTTTCTGTTTCCTACAAACGCACCCAACACTGACAGCCCCTTGACCTCAATATCTAAAGTAGCATCCAGTCCATGAGTATGGCCGTGTCCTTTGACAAAACTCTCCAGAGGGTAAAGAGTAACATCGGGTTCCCGTGTAGAAAGTCGTGTGAACATCAGTAGTCTGATCACAGCAGCAGCAGCAGCAGCAGCAGCAATCCGCCATAATCCAAATGAATCCGGGTCTCCCAGGTTTGTTCATCCTGGTTGGAGGGCGATGACTGCTCTGCTCTGCTGGAGTGCTTATCTGCTGTCGGTGGTCGGTGACTGTACAGGCTTTGTGTTATCAGGACTCAGCCGGCTCAGGGATTGGAGGGTCCATGGAAAGTAAACACTGAACCTGCCTTTCGCTTATCTGTCCCAGGAGTGAGTGTGCTTGTGTTATATGTGTGTATGTCTGCATAAAAGAGTGAGAGAGGGAAGCTTGTTTCCATGGCAACCTCATCCTTCGACCCCCCCCCCCCCCCCCCCCCAGCTCAGTCTTCTCGCATTCCCTCCCCTTTAGAGGAGAACCCTGGTGGTCTTTGTGTAATGCGATTCCACTAGAATGCACTGTGGATTAGAGCTGTGCTGCCTTTGGGCTCCAGGCAGGGCAGCAGTGAAGACGTTATTACCCAGATCAAATGCTGTAATCACCAGGCACTGGGGGCGTTCACATCCATAACAGATAAACCCAGGGCTGGCAATACTCAGGTGATTAGAGGATTATTATTCAGAATTCCAGCAAGGTGCCAGAGCCTCGGTGCTCGCAAAAGAACAATAAGAATAATCTAGATTTTCTGTGTGATGGATGGTGGTACGTAGAAACCAGAGCCTACTTGTTAAAAGAGAAAAACATTCACTTTGTTCCCCTCTTCATTTTCTGTAGGGTCTTTGAATTTTGCCTCTAACAGTCCAAGTAGAATAGAGAACTGGAACGTGCTCTTGTGTTTAGAGCATCTGCAAAGCACTTAGACCACTCCAGTTTCTTAGTCTGCACAGTTGCCCCTCTTTAAATAGTTGAGAGCAGCACGGGCTTTTGCATGAGAACCAGCTGAAAGCTTCCCATTGAGACATAGCTCAGCGGAAGCTGAGACAATGACCTCCTCGGAGTCCACCGTTGCAAGCGCTGAGAGGTGCAACCTTTCATCTGCAGATATTCCACTGTTTGATTAAGAAGAGGAAGAAAATTGTACTTGAACAGGGGAGCTTAAGCTACAAGTGCACACAGGAACTACACACCACCAGCGTGGGAAAAGGAAGACAACAGCTTTTAACAAATGAGCCCGTGAAAGCAGCACATGGCGGCTGGCTCCATGCTGAAAGCATCCGGCCTCTGCTTTTATAATCTAACAACAACAACTCTGAGGAGAGGGCCTCATGAAGGGCTTGCTGCTTCAAGCGCAGAGTCCTGGAGGAGCATTGGTCTGGAGTAGATGGACAGCCTCATTCACCTCATTCTGCCCAAAAGGACTCAGCTACAAAAAGACCACTCAACAGGACTGGAGAGCGACATTTACGTCATCCCTCTGAAGTGGCACTGCATAATAACTTCTGGCTTATTGTATTACACCGCGTGATGTCATGGTGCCACCAAATGAACTCAGAGCTGATGGTGGCTGGCTACTGTGACTTTGAAAGCTGCACCAAGTTCATCCCTCAAATATTAATGTGCAGCTCAGTAAATGCATGAGTTTCGACCAAGCCAAGACGTTCCACTGCCGCCTTTCAAACAGCACCCAGAACGTCTTCTGCTTACGTCTGCAGTTCTCCTGAGACAGTTGTCAGCCCTGGATGCTTTTACCACCATTTGCTGATGCACTTCCATTCACTGTCAAGGAGAACCCGTGGAAAACATCGTATGTACGGTAAAATGAAGGCTCCAGAGTGGGAGAAGACTTCGCTTGAGCAACAACTCACATGGAAACAGAAACTTTTGAGGGCATATTTGTGGTTTCCAGTGAGGAGAAGCAGAGACAAAAACAAAACAAAAAAATAATACATCAGCATGTCAGTGGATACAATTAATTTCTGTCCCTAATATCCTTCCTTTCTAAAGAAGTCTGACATTTAGGAAACAAGCCAGCATGGTCTTATTCAGAAAGTAAACTTAGAAAAACTAAAGCCCATCTGTCACTGGGATGCAACTGTTGGTGAATAGTTTGACACCCAAAGATGTGAGAATGTATATTTTCAAATAGAAGAACAGAATTGGCATAGATGACTGCAAAAATTTGATAAATGAATGATAAATGCACATGCATAGACCCTTTCTGACTCCACAGTGCTCGTTCATACATGCAGAATGGTGGTGGGGAGCTACATTGTAGCCACAGCAGTGGCCACCAGTCCCTCTGACCACCACCAGCAGGTAAGTAGGGTGACGTGTCTTGCCCAAGGACACAACGACTAACATGACTGTGGGGCCTTAGGCCCAAAACTAGCAATTCACTGAATGCAGGGCAAACTCCTCATCACCATTTGACTTAAGGCAGGGTCATGTGAGGATTTTTGATTGCAAACAAACTTCAACAATCAAGTCTTTTCAGACCTTTTTGCAAAGTAGTTTAAAGGTGTGATTCACTTGTTTCACGTTTGCAGTGCTCTCTCGTAGGAATGAATGCCTTGTAAGTCCTACTCTGGTGCACCTGTTTCAGGATCTAGAAGATTTCCAGATCAGAGCTGAGCTTCAGATGACAGGATTTGGAGTCTTACTTCCTGATACATGTACATGTCTCCTCTAATTGGCCAAGAGCAACGTGACTCTACCACTGACTCTGTTTACTTTGCAACATTGAAGTTTTATCTCCACAAATAACTTAAGCCTGGAGTTCTGCTGTGTGGTGGAGTTGCTAATGCTAGCTTCTACTAGCCGGGATGTCCTCTGCATGGGTGAGACCATGAATGTTAAGCGCAGGCATTTTTAGCAATGGCTGTGTTCCACTTCTACAGCTGTGCAGGCTGCTTGTTAATTACCTCCCAAGCAAACTGTACTTTAAATGGGACACAGCCTTCATTATTACACTTGTGCTTTCTTGACTCTTGACGTTATCGTTGTAAAACTGGCCTCTTATAGCTCAGTTTGTTCACCACTTGGCTCCAAACCCCTCCCAAAGTCGACTCAAACATCTTCCACAAAAGTTCCATTAAGGAGCAGTTGATAGAAATTGAATTAGAGTTCTAGATGCATGCCACAACTCAGCAACTAATTGAAAAGAACATTGTTTTTTTACATATTTAAAATCCATGGTCCAGCTGTTTATGTGAGAAAAATCGAGCACCCTAGTGAACACCTTGGGAATTATTTTGCAATTTATCGCCAACAGTCCCCTGTAAGATATTGGTTTAACCTTGAAATATAAAGTCTCAGACCAGCTTTTGTTAAATAGTTGCCCTAAAATAGCCATTCTAGTCCAAAAACAGTGACTGTGTGAACGTTTTAGTTGTAGCTTCTTGCTTTATTTAAGAATAGCCAAATTAGCACTCAACTCCTAATTTAATTATTTTCTTTAAACAAAAGTTGTAGCTTTCATCTAGTTCCTTTCTCCTAACCCTACAAAATACAATTGTTTAAATTATTGAATCAGTCTGTAAAAGACTGCAATGGCAGGAGGACAAAAGTGCCATAAAAATCCAGTCAAGATTTGTCTTCATTTTATATAAAAACAGTTTATTGAGTTATCAACAACTGTCTACTGTACAATCCTTATGGGTGATGACATGCATGCTACACAGGTAACTTGTGTTTATGCAGAGGTCGCAAGAGCTGTAAGAGAGGATTGAGGTGGAATATCGTTTAAATACTGAAGAACGCAAACATTTAGACTCAAAATGCCAGATTTGGTACTGACTTAACCTTCCATTTGTATGTGTAACCAATTAAGTCCTGCAGATCAGTCACAGGCCATCAAAACAAGAAAGGCAATGAGAAACTTCCACAGACTGAGGCTGAGTGGAGTCATAATTTTTCATACACTGGTCGAGTCAACAGATTGAGCTCAAATCACTGCTCCTTTGTTTTTTTGCAAAATCGTCAGTTCTCCACTCGTTAAGTCATCCATTCTGATTACTGAAAGCAGCTGGTGTTCAGTGACAGATCTTAATTTCAGTGTTGAACTTCTGCGAGCAAAGGCAGTGGGTCAATTTTACTGGAAAAGATGAATTTCTCTTTTATCCAGTCTGAAAAAAGGGCATTTGCAGCATTATCTACCGCTAAAAATCCATGGGACTAACATCTGCTTCATACCAAATAGCAAAAAAATAAAAAATAAGCTGCTGTCAGGGGAAAAAAAAATCCAAATTGGATTACCGAAAATGTTGTTCTTGACAACAAACATGAAAAAAATGCCAAGGAGAGGGAAAAAACTGAAATAGAATATCCTCTTACAGAGTCCTAATCTAATTCCCATCCCTGGAGGGGACAGAAAATCATAGACAGAACAAGAAAGAACCATCACAAGCGAAATTGGACACCAAAATATAAATCTATAAAAGGCCATTTATTACTCCATTATGTACACTTTTCACAGGACCTCCAAGGAAAAGCTCCGAAGCAAAGCGCTGCTTCTAGTTGTGTCATAGAACTTTATCTCCACAATAAAAAGGATGAAAAAAAGAAAAATCCAACAAACTGGGGAAAAAAAGCAACGTTTTTTTCTTAGTGCCTTCAGAAAGGGCACTTGCTGTACAAGTGTTGCATTAATGAAGGAGGGCAGAGGTGAATGAAATAAAATCCAGGTCCAAAACAGCGCCGCCATCCGATCCAGTCTGGCACCGCCAAACTTCTTGCCCATCAGAGGGCTTCAGGCAGAATCCACGTCGCCTATGTGAGGGAGGACAGATGGAGGAAGGGTTCATTGTTCCAGGGCATTACTGCGGTCCAGCTTTAATAGATCACTTCATAGACAGTGGCCTTCTTGTCTCCAGAGCCCGTTACAATGTACTTGTCATCTGTAGAGATGTCGCAGCTCAGGACAGACGAGGATTCCTTTGACTGTTTAGAGAAAACAACAAAACAACTCTTAAACCCTTGGAGTCAGTTGAAACCCTCAAGTTCATTTAAAGCTAAGTGAGGAAGATTAGCTGCCTACAGAGGTAGATTAGGTTGCAGTGACATCAAGTTTTTGGCCTGACAGCCCTGAAAAAGACTTCTTTGTCAAGTCAATAATTGAGTTTCAGCTTTCACTGATAGGATAGTCCTGTGAGACGTCGGTCACTGCGTCCTTCCCCTAAGAGACGACTGAGCATGCTTTTGCCGGGCTGCAGACAGAGTGTATTGATCTGCATACCTGGAATATGCTGGCGCCATAAGGAGTCCTCCAAGCATTCAACAGATTGTCCTTCCCAGTGCTTACGAACCATTTACCTGGAAAGGAAACAGCCAGACCATCAGTTTATTAGAGAGTAACACAATTTTCCTGTTCTTTTTGTGCATTTATACACACCGCAGTAGGCAAACTTGAGGGAGAGGACACAGCTCTCGTGCAGGTGGAGCTGATATTTGTCAGGTTTTGAGTGGTGGAGAACCTCCACGTTGCTGCTCTCCATTCCCACAGCAAGCCACTCTCCAGTCGGACAGTATCCCAAAGAGAAGATCTGAGAATGGAACGAAGCAGTAATTACTTGCAGTCTAGAGGCTAAAAGATAAACAGCTTCTTGCAACGTGTGGCTTTCTCTGGGATGTACCTGTGAAGTGAAGTCATGCTGCTGCAGCTGTCGGCCCTCCCTCAAATCCCAAGAGCGAACCGTGTTATCAAGACCGCCTGTCCACAGCTTAGTGCCATCGTGGGAAATATCAATACAGCTAGCGCCGTCTGTATGACCCTGGAACTGCCTGCAATCAGGAGTCAGAAGGAATACAAAACACTTATTGACATGCTCTATAAAAAATGACTCTCACAAGAGCAGTCCTGTTACACGGCCAAAGCCCACACACATACTAGGAATATACATATATATTCTCCTAACCTAACAAGAGTCTGGTTGTGCAGGTCCCAAACGGCAATGTTTCCATCACTGCAGCAGGAGAAGCAGACTTTGGCGTCGGGGCTGATGGCCAAGGCGTAGCACGCCGGGGCTGAGGAGGTGAGCTCAGCCTTGATGCGGGGTGTCTGTGAGGCCAGATCCCAGATGGTCAATGTGCTGGCCTCGCCTCCGACAATCAATGTGCGACCATCAGGCAGCAGCTTACAGGATCGGATGTAGTTATCCCTGTTCTGTTGAACAGAGGACAAACCCAAATCAATACATGTTCAAGCCAGCGAGGAGGAGAGAGAGATTTAGGAACAGTTTTCTGGAAAGCAGAACAGAAATTGTATCCTCATGAGGAATCAACCAAAGGGTCTCCCCAGATCTAATCTGGATTGGGTTGACACATTGATAACTTTTATTATTTAATGCTATTTACTTTTCCAGCGAGCTTTACATTATCAAAAATTTGTAGTCGCAAAAATCAATTCCACAATGTCTTGTGAAAAGGAAATTGGCTGAGGGCCTTACCAGACAGTCCAGTTGGGACACAGGACTCTTGCTGCCGGGTTGGCTGATGTCCCAGATTTTGACACAGCCCTTGCCACCAGTGTAGACATGACGTGTAGGGTTGCTAATGGTAACGGCGCACACCACCTCTCCGTGGCTAAGAGTGTTGATCTGACGAGCGTGGCGTGGGATACCGGGGCCAATGAGGGCATCAGGCGGGAAGGGGACTGGCTGCATCTGGCCATCTGCACTGACATGGAAGGAGTACGCTCTGCAAGAAGAAGGAAAAATAAGCATGTTAGTTATTATTGCCAATTACACAATTGTAGAAATTTTGGCAAGATACTTACGGTTTCCCGCCAGAAATGGATGTGAGGCTGGCTGGAAGGCCTGGAGCTCTCATATGGGTGTGAGGATCAAATCCCTAAAAGACAAGATTAACAATGTGTATTTCTTCTAAATGAAGCCAAATGAAGCAGCTTATAGGACGATAGGAAGCTCTTACCATGGGGGAACGCCCATACGCAGCAGCTGCTGCTGCACTCATCTGAGGGGAGATGTGCAGACCAGCGTACACCCCAGGACTCGTCAGGCCCCCGTTCATTTCATGGTGGCCCATCATGGCAAAAGGAGTGGGGTAAGATCCAGCAATGGACAGAGGTGTACGCAGAGCTGGCGCTGCTACAGACACAGACAGGAGGTGGGCATCAGTATGTTGGAGAAGAAAGGGAAACAATTCTCTAAAAGAGGGGGCAGAGAATAGTACCAACCGAGAGCCTCCATGCCTGGTGGTTTGCCCAGGATGGGTCTGAGCCCAGGAGTGGAGCTGGTGCCAGGGGTGGGGGCATCGTTACGTGGGGTGGGGGTGTTGGATTTGAGACCAGGGGTAGAGGATTTGTCATTCTGTCAAGGGAACAAGAGAGCAAGCACATTCAGAATCCTGGAAACCAGGCACTGTGCAGACTGACAATTTGGGAGCAAGCTGAACCTAATCCAGTCTAATTCTGACAACCCTCATAGACTGGAAAAGAGCCATAACCTGCTATTTATTCTAAACCCTATTATGGTCACAATAGAGACGTGGCCAGTTTTTATCCCTTTACCATTTTAGCTTTAATCTTTCAGCCAGGCAGAGCAAAATAAATAAATAAATAAACTGGAAGATTTTAATACAATGAGCTATTAATGTAGAGGACCTGACTGATCCTGACATTTTAGTCATGCACTTAAAGCAGAGACAGCCCTTCTTTTTCCACAGTGCGAGACACCACTCTTGATCTATTTGCATGTAGCAATTCTCTTTTAAAAAACCCTTTTGTCCTAGTTTCCAGTCATCTTACATGACTGAGCTCCTTGGCCTTGGAGGACGGCGTGCTTCCAGATGATGCCACTGACGCTGGGCTGTTGGGTGTGTCCTTCTTGGGTGGGCGTGGCTTGTCAATTCCATTTTCAGGGGGAGAGTGCGCCGGGCTTGCACGTGGGGTGGCAGGGTCCTGATACAAACATGATAAAAGTTGAATGTTAACATAAAAGCCACATTTAGTAAATATGTAGTAAAAAGTACACAAAGTACTTCTCACCTCGTTAGACACATCTACCACCAAGTCATCACTCTTCTCTCCATCACTGTCCTGTGAAGGTAATCAATTACCTGATCAGGTATAATCCAGATATAAATCTTAACCTTTGGGTGTCTTTTCATAAAACACACACACACACACACACACACACACACACACACACACACACACACACACACACATTTTTTTAACTCAGAATTATTCGAACCAGGAGAAGTAACTTCCTGTCACTGTGCGATTGCCTGGCAACCAGAAAAGACTCCATGACATCTGTGTTCCCTGCCAAAGATTTTCCTGCACCTGACCAAACATCCAGTGTCAACCCACCCCTCCCCCTCTGTTTTTGAACAACCACACATAATGGTTTAAACAGTGACCAGATATATCTCTGTCAGGTTGAGCTCTCCTTTAATCACTTACATATCTGCTCATGCTGTCCTTCTCCTCCACTTTGCGCTTCTTAGTCTCCAAACTGTAATCAGAAGAGCTACGATGCTTCTCGCTGGCGGTCCGTAAGCTTTCCGATGGGGATATTGAGTTGTTCTGCAAAAGAAAAACCCCAAACACATTTAATTACCATTTTGTCTTCCTGTGCAAGAGACACCAGTGAACCACTCATCCATTCCAAACTGGCAGACGCTGCGCTGTGCCAACCCAAACACTGAAATAAAATGCCCTATTCACACTGCCCTGGGTACAACAGACTCTTAAAACGCAGCTGTGGGCCAGCTCCACACAGTACCCTGACACCAACCCAGTCCCGTCCCTGGCTGCACAACAGAAGGGTTGTTATCTGAATTGAAAGGGCTTGTTTTTCTGAGCTGCCCCGCCTTCACCTTCATAACTGGACAACAAACTGCCTCACAGGGACATGAGCATCGTGTTGTGACTGAACAGAAGGCCTTTTCTCCAGAGTCATTTAGGCAAGGGAGCGGGGGGGGGGGGGGGGGGGGGGGGGGCAGACATGCTATATGGTGTGTGTTCTGGGCACTGAATGCAGCAGCTCACTCGGGCACCATGTCAGCTTGAGCTTTAAGCTCTGATAAGGAAAGATAATCTATATTCTGCCAGTGGGCACGGCAGCGTGGGACTGGCTGGTGCTTCTTCACGGAACCTGCCTACACAAGCTGGGACAGCTCACTCCAAACACCAACAGAAGGGGAGACACTGGGCAGCGGTCCAGTAGCTTCCTCTGGAGTTTGCCATTTGCCTGCGAACTGCCAAACTGTCCCAAATCTGTGTCCCTCACTGGGAGGACCAAAGAAACCACATGGATAAAACCAGAGGAGGGAACAATGACGGATGGACTAGAGGTCTGGGCAAAAGGCCACTGTCTGCATAATGGCTGACCTTTAAAGAGATGCTTAGCGTGACTCATTAACCAAAGTCACCACTCTACTATCAGATGACCTGGGACGAGAGAAGAGAAACAAAACTGGCTCACTAATCGCCCCAGGAGTTCCCGTTTCTCCAGACATGACTGCACCCATTCAGCCAACAGAAACCCAATCTCAGAGACCCATCACGTCGTCCAACACAGCCGCATTTAAAACAAAACACTCCAGCAGGTCCATGCCTACCGAGCACAGAGGACAACAACTAAACTCTCCCATTTGTGATCATATATATTCATCCCTCACCAAAAAGAATAATTTTTTATTTTAAAAAGAGTGAGACTGAAAACAGGAGAGACAGTAGAGGGGATCAAACAAATCCTTTAAGAGGGGGAAGTCCACGTCCTTTAATTGTGATGAAATTACAAAGCTTCTAATCTCTCTAGCATGAGAGCTGTCATCTCCCTCCTGGATTAAACCACACAGGATTACTATTCCAAACCTCATTTCTCATTAATCCTTTTATTAAAAGGAGATTACAACAGCATAAGAAGTCAGAAAACACACACAATGGATATGACGATGAAACGATTAAGAAAATCAACAATCCTTGGAGGAAAACGCTGCTGGACTCACCGTGTTTTCTATTGGGGGCACCACAGTGATGGAAGAGGTGATGAAGTGAACAAAGAGAAAAACACATCAGTTAGTACATCATAACAAATTCTTCTGGTTGTATGAATCAGCCGCAGGGCACAAGACTTCTCTATACCGTATACTGGAGATGCTGAATAGATTATGAAGTCATGGGCTGGGAATGCACCAGCTCATTAACCAGTTAGAATGTGAACAGGCAGGATGTGCTCTTCACCTAAGGTCGTGACGGAGACGCACCCTACACCCTACTGGTTTTTGCATGTTTAGCATCTCTTTGACCAGTTATGACAACACAGTTGAGCTAACCTACCTCTGTGTTCCAGATCATGGTGGTTCTTCTCATCCTTCACTGGGAGGTGAGTTTGGCTGCCCAGAGCGCCGAGTGCCAGCAGGCCTGATCCGGAACCCGTCACAGGGGGGATGCCGGGTGGCTGCAGGCCTGAAGGGTGGGGGGGTAGCTGAACCGGAGGCCCGTGCGCTGCATGGGAGAGGTGCTGAGCTTGGAGCTGCTGCTGCTGCGAGTCAACAGAAAGATGGGAAAACAGACACCAAGTGGGTTGAAGGGAAAACTCCAGAAAACTAGCTTCATACTACTCAGGAACAGCAAATCTAATGTCAAATCAAGCCTTTTGTGTCCAATTTCTCCGTGACACACCCAACAGGTTAAACAAGGCTTTAGATGTTGTGAGGTGAAAATGGCTTTTATTCATTATGAATCAATACAAACCCAACAAAGCTGCATTTGATTTATTTATTTATGGATCTGCACAGAAAACATCATGTTACTTCTGCTATGATGGCAGCACAACAGTCCTGTACCGTTGGTGAGCTGAGCAATCACCTTAAAGAACATCAAGCCGTCAGCCTCAGGGCAAAACAACTACCTGCTCTTTAAAAACACAACAGTGTCTGTTTGCTGCACCGTTCTTGGATTGACAGCACATAAATCATTTGCACGCCCAAACTTTAGAGACTGATGGAACTCCTAAGAGCCAAAAGCTGGCACTCTTATTATTTATTTGTTTTATTTGCAGTCTTTGAGTGTTGCAGCTCTGGAAGCCAAGAGCAGGGGTCCCACACTGGCACTCACTCAAGCCTTCAATATTCACCATCAATATTTGAAAGGCACAGGGAAATAAATGGGAGTTAAAAGGCACTCAGCGTGGAAGTAAGCAGTTTAAAGCAAGGTTAAACAATACTTTGCTGAGACACCAATAAAAACATTAGCAATTTATTACCAGTCTATGAGAGACTTGAATAGTTCAGCTGTTGTTACATCATGCACCCTTCCTTTTTACAAGACGGGCTTCAATCAGTGGTCATTCACAGCCATTTCATGATTATTAGTAACTTAGTAATGTCAGGAGACAAAGTGGGAGGTTAACTCAGCAGGAGCTCAGTTTCAAAGTAGAAAATTTTTTTTTCACGTTTTCTTCCCTATCCTGGAACTAAAGTGCAACATTGCACAGTGAAGGAGAGAGAGCGCAAGACAGCCAGAGTGTGTTATAATACTGTGTCCATGAGGGAAATTAAGGAGCCAGTTCATTGGCAGGAGGGGAGACATCCCTGCTCATTGTGTTTAATGAGGCACTGATGGGTAATAAGCATGGCTGATCAGCAGGAGCCCTCATTAAAGAGCCATAAATGAAGACAATAATAAATAAAGAAAGGAGTCTGGCCCATTTCTTCTAATTTAATAATCCGAGATAAAGACCAACTCCTTGCCCTTTTCCTTTAATCCTCACACTGCATGTAGCTACAGAAGGAAAGGCACCAAAGCAAATCAAGCAGATGCACTTTTGTTGTTTCAGGTGTGCCAACAGTGGTGAAAGGTGCAGCAGTTGGGCACAATTAGTGCCATGCAACATGCACAAGCCCTTTTAAGGGGTGTTGCAGCCATTTTGAAGTGTGTTTTATATGTGAAAGTTAGAAATGATTAACAAATACCCTACTTGTTGTAGGCAGTTTCCTAAAAATGACAAAATGAGTTTACATCCAAAAGGATAAATGAGCTAAAGGCTAGCATAGCCATGAGCCAAGTGGTTTGCTACCTTAAAATAGCTCCAATCATCAAGAAATCATGTGATGTTATTACATCAATATTCAAACTGCTGCCAGTTTCACACGATTTACATGGAACTGTGTTAAGTGTGAGTCTCACGGCCAGCAGCTAATGCAGCACTTCCAGTGCAGGCAGCAGTCAGATCCTGCAAATATTGCTGCTAAATACTTTTATGACACTAACTTCATTTAAAAGTGTACAAAATATAACATTTTGGAAATTGGAGCCATTGAAAAAATAGCAGCAATACACTTTGGTCTTGTAATGATAAGACTAGCCGTTAGCTCATTAGTCCTTTGAGATGTTGATCCAAACTGAGGTTCTTCAGGAAGATATTGAATGGGGTAAGATAGTAGTCATTTATTTCTTCTTCTTCTTTTTTTTTTTTTACACAAATACACTTCAGCACGGCCCAAAATATCCCTTTAAACACAGATGTGTGAACACACCAAGTATGTTGATAAAAGAAAACAGAAGTGGATTCCACTGACCATGAGAGCAGGATAGGCAGCCTGCTGCTGCTGAAAAGGAGGACAGAGGGGTCAAGGCTAGAGCTGCTGCAGATGGCTTCTCTTAACCATGTACAGACACAATAAAATTGCCAACCATTTGTTTAACGATAGGAGAAAAATCCAGGTGGCTGCTCATTTGCAGAAAGGTGAGCCTTTTTCCTGTTGACTCCAACATTTTGTGCATTTTTTGAATCAAACAGGAGGCACCGGCAGCAGGCAGGTTTCTCTCAGAGTGAGCAGCTGCCCTAGTTGCATTCTATTAATGGCCCACAGCTCCATCAATAAGACATGCAGCTGGTTTCTGGATGCTGCCTGTCTGCCTGGCCCCCACCTCACCTTACAATATACATGAAGATCCTGGCATGCCTGCAGAGCCTCTCCTAAATAAATAAACCATCGATGGAAAGGTATTCGTAAAACATACAGCAGGTACATTCTCACCTCCCCCTTACACGACCAGACTAGGGTTCAGCCTCACTGTGTGCTTCAACAACACTGCCTCCACTCGTATGTGTCATAATGGGATTCATGTGTCAAAATTTAAAGAAGCCGGCTTTAAATTATCGACAAATGTGTCAAATATTCAAAAACTGCATGCACAGGATGGAGCTACAAGTCTACTATGAGTGTTAGGGTTGTTTATCTAACAGCTCTCCATCACCTCGAGACAATAAAACAAATTTAAAGGTGCAATAAACCTGGAACAAAGGTCACAAGAGAGGAATTATATTAATTCCAGTATCCAGTATTTAAGTCAGTCTCTTGTGCATATTAAAGATCCAGCTGTCTTGATAATATCACTGATAATCTAAACAGCATGTCACAAGTGAAATCAATCACTCCTGCCACACCACCAGGATAATGCTGAGGGGAGCTGATCAATGTGGAGCAGATGGTGTTCTGAAGTGGTGACGGACACCAAGCATTATTGCTCACTCAGTGCTGTGCTGTGCAAAGAGCTGTGCAGAAGGGGTGGGGGGAGGCTGTCTGCTGTTGGGATCATCTCAGCGAGTTCGCAAAGCTGGCTGTGTTCTGCTCAGCCTCAGCCTTTCAACTCCCACAGCTATCCAGGTCAACAGTGAGGGATGAGGCTCCTCGTTAAAACCTTAGCCAATTAAAATGGTACGAGTCGCAAAGGAGATCTGGAGAGCTCTCAGGCTCACATTTGTAAATGCACAACAAGACAGGGAGGATGCAGCTGAAAGCAAAGCTGCAGAAAGAGACCATCTGAAATGCACTCATGTGTGTAATTAGCACTAACAAATCGCCCTTTCTTATGCTTTTCTCCTGTGCGTGTGTGTGTGTGTGTGTGTGTGTTTGCGCGTCTTGCTATCAGCTAGCAAAATACCCCAGCAGCGGATGCACATCTACAAATGATTAGGACTTGGGAGTCAAGTCGTTTCAATGGCCACCACAGTTAATCAACATTTGCAAAACCAAAAACGGCTCTAGCTGAGTCTACTGTGCTGCAACCTGGTGTATCTAAGTTACATTCCTGTTGGGCATCAACAAAACAAACAAGGTGTTGCTTTCAAAATTACCACTTCAGTCAACCTTCTCTGAAACTCAAACATCTCAAAAACTCAATGAGACCTTTAGAAAGTAATCAACCAACGAACGCCTAAAACTGAATATGTTTTAAAGTCAAAAACATTCAAGATGGCCGTCGTAGCTAGTTCAACTCTGGCACATGCAAAAATAGCTATAACTCAATCAGTTTTAAAGATATTGTGCAAAAATTCAATCTGCTATAATGCCATCATTTCCCTACGAATCTCTGTAAGAAGATGAGGAGGACAATGTTTAAGAAAGTCAAGGAATGCTTTAATTCTTATTACATCAAATGTCATAAAAATCAGTGTATGGTGCAGGTTTATCTGCCCCATTTTGAGATAAAGGAGAAAAAAAAGGGGTATACACACGGTGAGAGGCAGATTGGGAAGTCCACGTACCCCGATGATGGCATTCAGCTCTGTCATAGTCACCTGCTTAGCCCTCTCCACTGCCTGAGCAACCTGCTGTTGGTGCTGCAGAAAAAGGAAAAGAAAATTACTACGAGTTTTCAAGGCATGCCGAACTTGCTATTTCATTTTAACAGCACTGCAAGGATCCATAAAGTGTACGAAAATACCCCCACTCACCCATACAATTACTCACAACTACTTAACTTGATTTTTTTCCCCCCTACTAAATAGTCAACCATAAAAACTGTAGTGGCCAAATTCAAAACTCACCTCTTGTGACAGGAAAGGCATAATTTGAGCTAAAATTGCATTGAGTCGTTTGGCAATCTCCGTCTGTAAAAGAAAAAAAAAGAAAAAAAGCTGAAAGTGAGTGACTTCCCATAACCCCGCCTTTAATGTTTACACCGCTTAAGTCAATTACTCCGGCAATCAGAACTGCTTGACTCAACATCCTCTAAACAGCGTGATATTGACATTTGAAATATTTAAAACATTAGGAGAGCCCAGGGGGATGGAGCACAGCTGTGCTGAGAGTGCACTCCATGCTAAACGGATATGAGCAGACAGCGTGCTGCTGTGCTGAGAGGATCCTCACTCGATCAGCACCTCCTTCCCTTCCCCTGCACTGTCCTGCAGTTCACCTCCACGTTAAACCGCACCACCGCGCCCCAGGAAGAGAGGCCTTCGACCTGCACCGTTTACTTACATGTGACAGCGCGGACAATCGGCATTACAAATTACAGTGTACAGAGATAACAAACCATAATAATCTCATGGGCAACAGACCTCTAATCTATGATCGATAACCATTAAAAAGCAGCTAATGTTTGGTGTTAGGAACAGCATTTGCTGAAGCTCTGCCTTTTAGAGAATGAAGCCGGAGCAATGTTTCACTGCAATCAAGTGCCTAGCCCCACAACCCTCAAAGCCTCCCATCCATCCTCCATTCTTCTGCTTGTCTACCAAATGCCATGGCAACGGCTGAAGCCCTATCAGGCTGGGGATCATTATGCAAATGGCACCTCTGCTTGACCGTAACAGGCTTTAAAATCATATTACGTGCTTGGAGGCAGGTCATTAAATTGAATTTTCAGCCTGTCAATCACATGAACAGGCCAAATGAACGGAGGATACAAAGAGCAGGGGCGGTGGGGGTGATCCGCCTCCCCCTCATCCTTGTAAAAACACAGCCAGCTCGTTCCCCCCCTCTCGTATGGAGACGAGACTTTCCGATTTGAGCTCTGCACTGGGAGCAACAAAGAATAACAGGGCCAAAGCTACATCATCTTTGGAATTTATGAGCTGCAGTTCAACCGAGGGCCACTGCGGAACACAAACACATCACAGGGATCCTCTCTGATTTTTCATTTTGCAGTAGCGTGCACTAACACACACCCACAAACACACACACGATGTACTCTGCAGACCGCCAGCTTATTTATTACACATGGCAGAAATGCCAGGCAGTTTTGGCAGCCAGACATATTACCTCTGAGCAGAGCCAGAGAGATTGGAGAGTAATGACCAACAGAACAAGACCTGCTGACCCAAGCTGCAACACGATTAGCTACTAAGCTAGGCAAGCCAGCAGGACAAACAACGGGCCGAAGATGAAATATCAGATGAAACAAAGTGGAGCCTGGGATCAGAGGCAATAATCTGAAAGTAATATATGGTAGCATTTACGGCAGAAAGTACAATAGTCCGTAAGATAACACTGACCGTGACTTTCCTATTGCCTTCCGACAAGAAGGAGAATGAACTGTGATCTCCTAAGATAAGAGTTTTATGGGTGCAAGTATAACGGCAATTCCATGAGCATGCTAGAAAGAGTTGAGAGAAATGGCTAAAAAGCTACTGGGGCTCGTATAATCCATGTTTGTCGAGATAAGCCATGTAAATAGTGGTCGAACATTTGACAGGATTTGTAAAAAAGGCCTTGAGCACTCAGTCCATTCCTCTGCAGCTTAGTGTCATGGCGACAGCTGGCTGGGAGAGGTCAGGAGGTGGACGATCTGCTGTGCCCTAAACAACTGGCAGTCCCCAACTCTCGCTACGTGCTAATGCAAGGCAAAGAAATCAGCTCGGCTCACCGCTGCTGCTGTCAAAATAAATGCGGCACAGAGCTGAGAGGATATTTTTTCCTCTCTCTTCTGTTTTTTTTTCCTTCTGGTTCTGCCGTTAGATAAAAATGGGGCTGTTGTCACTTTAAGTAGATGACAGCTCAGCCCTTGAGAGGCCAGCTTTGCACCGCTGCTACACAATTACAGGTACTCGGACCTGTGTAGCACCACTTTAAGAGTACTCTCAGGCTGGCTTGTCAATTGTGTGCAAAGAGGTATTCGCCTGTTGTTATCAGCAGTGGGAAAATGGACTTAAGCACTGATGAGTATTAAATACAGAGGATAAAAGCAAGGGATCCATCTCTAAACAATACTTGTCATATTTAAAGGATTAGCAATTTGTCCGAGCTGACAGCAAACCCTCAGGCTCGACTTGCTGATGGAGGAGATGCTCAGACTATCAGCTCATCTAGGTCAGATAACGACTTTTCCACTAAACTGAGAAGTTGCACAAAACCCAGACAAGCCTGGAGTAAATTTTCTTACAGACATCTGGAGGTATTTGTATTGATCTGGGTAAAGCCTAAACGGATGCATTAGTCTGATTAACCTTGTCAGCTGCAGCTGTCAAGTCAGCAACATTAATCTTGTTTGAGCAAAACTTCCTCATTTATACCCAACTTTAACATCATAACCTTCCATTTGCATGCCTGACAGCCAAAAGCCTTACACCATGAAATGACTGTGCTGCAGTCACTTATGGCAGACTGAGGATCTGAGACTGAAAAGCATCTATAGGCTAGGAGAGACCCTTTTGTATGACCACATTTGCTTTGGGACTACATTTGGAGGATACCTTTGCTCTTAAGCAAGTGATTCCAGGTGGTATCATGCCACCACTAAGGTAAGAGCCAAATCTGTCTGAAGCCAAAATGCGAGGTCTTTAAACCTTATCCAGCCTTAAGGAAATGAGAACCATACCATAGCAATTACAGGCTGACATCACCCAGCAGAAATTTGCTGTTTGCATCTACGTACTGCCACAGCTGACGAAGAGGGCATCAGATGATATTGCCAAATCGGTCCATCTAAGCCATGCTGGTGTGTGCGTACTGAAACCTGAATTATGTCCCTCCTCAGTAATGAAAAAGGCACAGTTGAAGAAATGCGTTTCCTCACTATGAAATGAATCTGCAGTCAGGAAAATAATATGCCTGTGTGCATCCAATAATCCACCCCAACCCTGCCTGTTAACCACTCTCCACCCCCCCCCCCCCCCCCCCCCCCCGAGCTAGGGGTGGGGTGGAAGGATGGGGACCGCACTGTTTGCTCACAAACACGCTGTTCAGCAGGTTAGGGCCCCACTGATGAATTATTCAAGCACTTCCATCAGCTCGGTTGAGGTTCCTGATAAAAGTCAGGCGCTAAAATGGATCAGTCGATTAACCTGTTTACACAAAGCTGGGCTGTTGCCCCTCCCCCAGCTCTATTCTCATCTCCGGCTCCCATCCCCCAATTCTCTCTCTCCCTCTTCCCTCTGGTTGGTGATAAGTGCCTGACAGAAGCTATCAAAGGGGCCTGAGGCCTGACAGACATGTGGCAGTGCGACACACGGGCCCAGACACTGATGGATCACCCTACCACACCAACACGTCACACCACCAATACTGTCATTAACTGAGCAAGGCAGTCACAAGGGAAGAGGTAGCCATAATGCTTTAAAAGCTGCTCATGGTGGAATCTAAGGATTACTCATACTTGCTATCTTTATTTTTATGACTTAAGGCATCATTATGATTGATCTATGAGGCAATCAAAGACAAAAAACCCTTTGATAAAGATAAGCGTACAATAAAGGGCTCAATGACTTTTGCTCTGCTGGTGTAATTAAAGTTAATCTTTAAAAAAAATAAGCTCTGACCTCTCAGCAGTTCTTTCTTTTTAATCATTACAGCAAAGGCGGACCTTGTCAAAGTCTACCTTTAATCTTATCAACAAGCCGAGTCAAATCAAGGCTTTACAACACTTATAATTCCCCCTCTGAAGATGTGTCTTGGAATGATTGTTTTAATGGTAATATTTACTTTCAGTAGACAGATTAGGCAGTTCTTATGTGCATTCATCAATCAAGACTTCTGGACACAAACTTGAGTTTAGAGTCAAGCTCGACCTCTCATGTCCACCTGATTTCATCATATAAATATTTAAACATAAATAATGTTATAAAAGTATAGGATCACTTAAAGTTTAATCTAAATGTTGACATATAAACACAAAAGTGTTGATTTTCAACTAAATGTTCAGCTAACATGGAAACTCAGACTGCCATAAAAGGGAAAGAACCTTTTAAAATAAAAGCAGAGTTAAAAAAAACAAACCTAAATAACATTTCTTCAGTTCCTTTGATGGCAACACTGAGCAGGTGGATAATTTATCGATGCTCCTGTCTGGGTCCCATCTGTACATTGGTAAAGAATCCAAAACCAAACAGGCTCACACAAGGGGGATGAGAGATCTTAGCTCGTGGATCCCTTTGGGCTGCTTCTGTTATGTATAGGCTCTTCCATTTAAAAGCAGTCTTAATTTGCAGGTGAAAAACTGAAAAAGTAATATTTAAATATGAACATTTAGATTCTACTTCTTTTATTTAGATTTCATTCAAAATAGTTATTTTCTGCTATATGCTGACGACTTTTGAATATATACAGTGACTGATACGGGTTGTAAGAATTTTCAGGAAATAAATAAACAAGGCACCGTTTGTCATTTCAGTAAATGGTTGGTCAAGCTCAATTTTACAGGCTCGTTTTCTCATATAGCCGTCCTGGTTGGTGCATGAAAAATGTTTGACTGGTGGATTAGTGTCTCACGATGAACCAGACTTTCCCCCAACCCTCGGAAAAACCAGTGAGCTGAAAACTACAAGGAAGAAGGTGGCACCAACCTGTTTGTGCATCTCTATATTCAGGCCGTAGGACATCTCATAATACTGGAAAATAAAGCAAAGAAAGCATGCGTTACTGGAGTCAGATTTAACTGTAACAAAGCTCTATATAGTCACTGATCAATGTAATTGATCCCTGAACTAATCACATTATCACAGGGTTTTGAACATTAGAACGAAGAGAAGAAAACCTGAAAGGTGATGAACTAAGATCAGACTAGAAAAAGACTTCTGTGAGTAGCCGACAGCAGGGCGGTTCGATAAATCAATTTCTCTGCTGTTTGTAGAGTAGACTCAGAGAAGAAAGGCTCAGATGTATTGATCACTATCTTAAGCCCTCAGATCTCCATGATGTCTGTTTACTTAGCGTAACGCGATTGCTCAACACTCTTGATATTTCCAGCCAGGTCAGTATGCCTGGCTGAAATGTAATCTGCCGAGTCCACAATTGGAAGCCAGGGCAGAAATGGCTTTCCAGTCAGCGTCTATTTGATGAGGCCAATGCATTATTCAGTCCATTAGCTTCTTCGAAAATTACTCTCAAACAAGAGAGCCATTCTGTCTGAGATCAGAGCCCTACAGCCACAGTGTAACCTGACACCCAGAGCTGGCTGTGGGATACTTCCCTACATGTTTACCTAACCTCCTCCTTCTTGTCAAGCTGACATGTTGTTTTCTCATGAAAAAAAAAAACAGATGAGAAAAAAAGTTTCATTTAAGCCAGGATGTATTGGTTTAAATCACCCCCTGGAGTGTGTGTTTACTCAGGACAAGTGAGTACATTTCCACCGGAAAATAAAAACACTTATTGCATCATGTCTGGACTCATTTCATGCGTCAGCGGCACACCTATGTTTTTCTTCAAGGCTGCTAAAATAAAAGCTAATAATTAAGGATCATGAAGAACAAAATTTTACTGTGAAGTCCTCCATCTTGTTTACAGTGGTGCATTTTCCCACATGCACACACAACCTGGGGACCTCCACCCGGAGCTTGCACCTAATTTATGGCCATGCACATGTCTGAGCGTGGAGTCTCCAAGGAGAATAATCAGATCTGCACACACAGAGGGCAAAGCTGCAGTCGACCCTTGGTGCTCAGGGGTGGGTTGTAATGGAGCCTACTGCCTGTCAGGAAGAGCTCCTCTGAAATAACCAGCTGCATCAACCACCACCACCACCACCCTCCACCTCCCAGAGGGCTTTCACAGGCCTGTACCTGACACTCAGCCCGCCCTAACCACCACATAGGTGATCACAATAGTCTGTGTCACTCCACCCTAACTAGATCTTCAACAAGCCTCGCAATTTGGTACCATAATTGCTCCCTATTGTAACGTAATCTTACCATGACATAGTGGCGCTGCATCTCTGTTTTCTCATTGGCCAGTTTGTCATACTCCACCTTAAGACTTAAACCAGAAACAGGGCGTTATTTCAAGCATCTGTAACTCATTCACATGTGTAACAGTTTGACAAAGGAATAAAAACTGGTAATTTTTCATTCCTGGGAGTAGTTTTAACCTTTAGATGGACATGATTATTTAGTGATAATCATTACCTGTGATACTGGGCTTGCAGGAACTGAAACTCGTCTTTAATTCTGTCACAAGACTCTGCTACAGTGAATTTGAAGCCAGGCTGACCGGGCTGATGAGGAGCCTATAATAATAATAATAATAATAATAATAATAATAATAAAAGGTAAAAAAAAGACATTTGGTCAAAATCACAACAATCAGATCACTTATTTTTAAATGTTCGTTACTTTTTTTTGGTCATAAATTTTAAAGCCTAAAGATCAAGTCTCATCTGCAGCATTGCCAAACAGAGGGGGTCTACTTTACACCTCCAGCTGCTAATAACACTACAGGAATTGGCTTTCACATTGAAAATTAAATCTCAGATGAATTGAAACCAACAACTGTCCTCATATTCAGCAGAGTAAATATCTTCAGGCATGCATCTGCATCCGTTTAGGAGCATATTTTCAATGAGCAGGTTGTAAAATAGAGCTGTGATGATGACCTGCATAGGAGCTGTGCAGGGGGTTGAACCGTCAAAGAAAGTCAAGAGGCACGTCTTACCGGATGTCGGCCTTGTGGATACATCTTGAAATGTATCCTTTGTTTATTTCTCCAGCGTGCAGGACCTTTGGCAAAATGGATGAAAATGTGCCCACAGACACACCAGTCTCAGCAGACAGGGGGCGGGTGGAGGATAGGGGTGGGGAGGTTGTAAAAATCCTGTGTTGGGGGGATGAGTCGATTTAACCAAAATAAACCCACTTAATGCAGTTCCTCAATACTTAAACTGGTCCACCGTTATTGGAGCGCTAAAACAGAAACGTGCGCTTCTGTCTTCTTGACCTTAAGTGGTCAGCGAATTAAAAGGAAAGGAAAAAAATCTCAATTCAAAGTGTTGCAAAAAAAAAGAAAAAATATTCAATCCTCTGGATAATTTTCAGCGCTCGGATCAAAAATGTGAATCCAAGCTTGATTGATGTTCGTCAAAAGAGCAGAACCGTGCGTTAAAAAAACGTCTAGAGGCAGGCCACGAGCGAGCAGCTGCCTACTTGGACTCCGCACGGAGCCCTGGAAGCGGTGCGCTTCCGAGCGCACGTTTAATAATAAAAAAACAAGAAAGCAGATAATCAACAGCTCTGGCGAATACGTACCCAAACGTGCGCCTTCACGTCACTGTCCGACCTCCGTTCCCAAAGAGTCAAAAACACAGAAAGCTATAATTCAGGCGTTTAATCCCTCATAATGTGGACGCAGCTCTCCGACGAGCATCCTCTCTTTCTCTCCGGAACGCGCCCAGCCAGTCTGAGGGAGCGGTTGGAAGAATATTCGGCGCGGTCGGGCTCGATAAAACTACTTTATTCTTTAGCACGGAACCTCCAATGAACGCACGTCTTCAATTGCTTGTCAATCCCCTCGAAAAAGAGACAGAAGAAGAAGAAAAAAATACACAGACGCTTCCAAAATCTGTCTTCGGACTCGAAGAGGTTCTTTAAAAGCGTAACATGGTCCTCTCCACAATCTCGCATTTCCCCCAGTTGTCCGGCTTACCCCGGTTGCCACACACAGGCAGCAGGGCTGAACTGCCGTGAAAGCGTCTATCTGTCCAATCGCATTACTCGGAAGGAACACGGCCACATCTGCCTATCGGAGAGCGACGGCCCCACGTGGGGCAGCAACGACACATGACATCATCCCCCGGATCCACAAGGCATCAGCCGCCCGTCCCACCGACAACAGCAGCAGGCACTGATGTGCCGACAATCACATCCAAATATGACAGCACAAACACTACATCCGCTCTTCATTAAGTGTTTTTTTTATTCTACTGGATTAAATTTAAAGATGTGTGTGTGTGTGTGTGTGTGTGTGTGTGTGTGTGTGTGTGTGTGTGTGTGTGTGTGTGTGTGTGTGTGTGTGTGTGTGTGTGTGTGTGTGTGTGTGTGACCACAGGGAAAGGGAGGGCGGGATGAAGGTGCGCGGTGCAACAACCATTCTTCATTTTATTTATCTCCTTAGAGGGAAAAAGGGGAGATTGAGGGGTATGCGGCTATAAAACATCAGTTACAGTGAAATGTATACATATCTACACGTAAACCCCAGAAGTGCGCGCGTTTTAATTTCCACGCGTGCACGCACCGTGAAGGGCGCAATAATGACCAAATCGATCGTCGACATTTACCCGAGTGAAGCCACGTCTCGACATAAATTCTAAGTTCGAGCGTCTCGTGATTGTTGCACAACACACCCGCGCGCCTACCTATCAGCATTTGGGTGCTAGTTACACAGCGGGGGGAGAGGAGATGATTGCCTTTGTGTGATATGAACATCAGCCATGTCTGAGCGCTGCCTTGTTTTGAAGGTTCAGTTCTGCCCCACGTGGGATCCTTTCTGCGTCTTTAAGGCCTCCCGTCCAATAGCAGCGAGGCGCACTTACTCGGCGGTTTTCTATTGGTTCACCGCTGCCAAGCCTGTCATTCACGGCGCTGTGTTGTCAATCAATACCACGCGGGGTCAAGCGCTGACAAATGCCTGTGCTCCCCGGTCCTCTGCCTGTGAATAGAGCCTGGAATGGCTGCTTAATTAGCTTCGAATGGCTTTTCTCTCCAGTTCAAACAATCTGTTACCACCACGTGGTAATGAGAGCTTACATTAAACAAAGGAAGAAAGGAAGCATGCAAACAGTTGTAACATTACAACCTGTAGTTTCCTTTTACACATGGGCCTATATGTAACAAGCAGGGTTAAAAAATGAATACTGTTTACTTTTAAATCACAAATGCACACTTACCTGCTCTAACAGCAGACATGATGCTATGTTTTATGAGATAACTGTTGAGCTCCAGGTGAATATTGAGGTCATATTTCAGTTGGGATAATGAGCCTCCAAAAGAGAAAAGCACACCATTAAAGATGTAGACTAATTGGGCTTTGTTGTAACCAGACTTTTAAATGTGTAACTTATGTTATTTTCTAATAACGTCTAATACAAATGTACATTTAAACTAATGTCAAAAGTCTGGTCTGTCTAATGTTACCCATAATGCAAAAAACAGCCGGCCATGCTTCACGTAGATTTTGGGGGGAAATGCTAAGTTCATTATGTCACGCTAAGGTCTGAGATTGCCCAGCGGTCGTCTTTACTTGTCATTCTTGTCAGCCACCTTGAGGATGTGGGATAATTGTGTTATTTCCAAAAGTACGGGGGCTGTCTGTGAGAAACTCAAGCACACACAAGAGCTGGCAGGCTAATCTCAACCAGGCACCCCCTTGTGCTTTTCAATAGAGAGTGCTTGGATTAAAGGCAACAAAAGGCCGGGCGAAACCCCAGGGAGAAGAGGCCCTCCGCCCGATGAGACCCCCACTCCGTTTATTTACACGGAAACCCCAGCCTCTGTGAAACTCCCAGCCCTAGGCGTTACACACAGGTCTATTTGCAGAGGTGGCTCTAATTCTTGACAGAGCATGGATTGTCCCCAGTCCTGCCACTTTGAACTGACTAGCAACTCACTTTTCACAAAGCTCAGATGAAGCCTCTGAGCTAATATTTTGTTCCTTCAGCAGAACAACCTTTTTGGGGTCAAATTGTTCAAAGATAGCGTTAGAGTCACACTTTTCTGGTTTAGTGGAAGAAACTAGAGAGGGTGCTGTTTGAAATGAGGGTTTTACTGCTGTGTTTACCACGAAGACACGGGGCATCACTTGAAATTACACAGCAATGGTTCATTAACTTGTATTTTATAAACAACAAGGCCGTTTTTCATGCTCTCTGGAAGCCAGAGAAGGGCTCTTGCTGCAATTGCCATGTCTGAGTCTTGGGCTGCAGTAGCTCACATTTTATAGTACTGGCATTCTGTTTGCATGGAGCTTTGCAGACATTTACCACACATTCACAAATAAACACACTCACATGCTGTGAGTCGTAGCACGTCACTCACAGGCAAGGGGCAGAAACGTGTAAAAAAAACTGGCACACACATTTCATGCAACAAAGAGCTCACAGTGTGTGGTAGAAAGATGAATGATTTCTTTCTCTTTATCAGGATGAGTCATCAGACTGTAATCAATGAAAACAGGATGGGAGTTTTTATCAAAGAAGGGGAAGAGCAAAAATGTTGCAAAACAAAAAGAGGTGGTTGGCAGTGATCTGGAGTTACAAAAGCCCTAAGCTGAAGTGAATTCACACAACTGATACACTAATAATTAATAGTCTATAAAGTCAACAATCCTCCCTGATATTTGATACTAATAAAAATCCAGACAGGACTTTTGGTTCAGCAAAACAAGCTCCAATTGAAGGGGAATTTGTGTGGCATTGAAAATTTCCATCAAAAACACACAATACATTTACAGATGAATAAACAAAACAACAACAACATGTTTAACTCAACACTGATCACAATAATAGCATTTTGTTTGCACCCAGGAACCCACACTCTAAAAAACAGGCCTGGGGTAATGATAAAACACTTAAACAAAGATGTTTGATGATCAATTCATCTTGGCAGCTGTCGTCATGGCGTTCTTGTTTCTCAGTTTGGTCGTATAAATTTCAGTGTTTCAAATCAGATCTTTGATTGTAGCTCTTCATGCAGCTGAAGAAATAAACGGAACTTTTTATGGATTATGATGAATCTGTAAAAACATAATCGTTACATGCACATCTAAAACTGATTTTCTGGTAAGTGAAACTCAATATGGCCACCATAGCTAATTATCATTGGCAAACACAAGGATGACCGTAATCCCAATACTCACACTGCCTACAGTCCTCTCTGAAGTGCACTTGGTGGGAGTGCATGCAATGCTTCAAGTGTGTAGTAAACAAGTGTTTTAACTGCAGTCTTGGGGCAGTTAGCAATGTGTCATGGACCTGCGCCACTGCGTTGTCTCTCTACAACTTTCTAAATAGGGTTACTGTTTCTGCCAAGTTGCTCTTTGAAATGATATTAAGATTGAATGATAATAAGTGATTCATTTGCTGGTGTATTGTGTCCTAAAATAACCACTGCTACTGTTAACAGCAAACACTATTTTTAACAGATAAGTGATGTCTCTTTCTAACAGAGGAACATTTGATTGTTATATACACACTAGGGGTGGGAATTGAAAAGGTTTTATCGATGTCAATGTCATTGTCGATTCTGTCTATCGACCCAATTCCTTATCAATTCCAGAGTAGTTCAAAAGGTGGCAAAAAACTAATAGCACATGACCTCCTGCAATACAACTGTCAGTTTATTTATGATGAATAAATCAATTGCACCTGTATCGGTTGGAAAGATCTTTCCAAATGTTCTCCTTTATGCTCCCTGTGAAGGCAGAGCCATCTTCTTGTTTGGTGCAGTGTTGCTGTAGCTTTTGTAGAGTGGGAAAAGTCTCACCACGGGTCGGACTTTAGTCGCTGGAGTCTGCTAAAGGTGTGTATACAAGGCTAATGATGCTTACATGATAGGCAGTGTTAGTTAAACGATAAATGACTCGCACTTGTATAGTGCCTCTCAGATTAAGGACTCCAAAGCGCTTTACACTACAGTGTATCATTCATCCATTCACACACACATTCACACACTGGTGGGGATGAGCTACGATGTAGCCACAGCTGCCCTGGGGCCCACTGACAGAGGCGAGGCTGCCGAGCACTGGCGCCACCGGTCCCTCCGACCACCACCAATAGGCAAGGTGGGTTAAGTGTCTTGCCCAAGGACGCAACAGCAGAATTCTCTGTCCGGAGCCGGGATCGAACCTGCAACCTTCCGATTACTGGACAACCCGCTCAACCTGTTGAGCTGCTGATTAGTTACCTGCAGTACTAACAGGAGAGGATGTGTGAATGAAGTGGGTCAAAATTCATTAACTTTAAGTTATCGCATATTTTGTACCCAAAAGCTTTTGTATATTTGTAATGCTTCCCTCTTGATGAAATATCCATACTTTGCAATTATTGCAAGTTACCTGTTGTCATGCTTTATTGTAAAATATAACCAAACTTTCAAGCATTTGTGCGACTTAGACACCAAGTTTCCTGCTTCTGTAAGCTATGCAACATGCGCATTGATGTCATTCGCGCAGACTGGAATTGATAAGGGGAATCATTTGCAAATGTGGTGAACAATTCCTAGGGCTTGAAACAATGGGATCCGGTTCTAAAAAAAATGGTTTTTGATTTCCAACCTTAATACACACAATAATAATATATTCAATAAATCCGCGCTTGCACTTGAAAATACCTATTTTGAAAAGGGCACCGCCTTCTTCTCAAAATTCCAACGCAGCAATGGATTGAGGGTAATACCTTGCTGACTTCGGCAAAATGCCAATCAAGGGTATAAAAGGGGCGGGGCCAAGGTCAACATTTGACAATCTGGACACCCTACGTCCTCATATCACTGGACGGGAATGCACAAATGAGCGGTGCAAGTGTGGAAGTGTGAATATTGTACCTGGGCCCTGAAGTAAAAATCTATATGGTAGCAGCCGAAACATACCAGGAGCTACCAGTCTGCAAACATTTTACAAAGAAAACTTGGTAATTTCTCAACTTCAAAAGTTCTTTGTTAAAACTTCTCTAGCATGAATGGTAGCAGTTGACATGCCTTAATTCAGCAGATGCATAGGCAATATTTCTCGTGTGTATTGTTGTCTTCTCCCTGC